TCAGTCCCGTGAGATTGCCCCCATTTCAGAGGCCAGCTGCAACCCTCAGGTATCCTCAAGTGTGTAAGTCAGGTTTCCTGTCACTGGGGCAAAACACCCAGTATCTACAACTGACAGAGGAGACTTTTATTTCAGCTCATGGTTTCAGAGAAGTCAGTCGATAATTTGCGGGTCTAAGGCTGAAATGGCATTGCACAAGAGCCCGGAGGACGACAGCTGCTCAACTCATGGGGGGAAGGAAGCAGATATGGCAGGAACTGAGAACAAGCGTCCACCCTTCCTGGTCATACTGCCCGCGACCCACCTCCTCCAACCAGGCCCTGCCTCCTCGTAGCACATTCTGCTATAAACTCATCAAAGAATTAATCCACTGAGAAGTAGAGTGCTCCCATAGTATGACCAGCTTCCACAAGCCCCAACTTTGAGCAATGAGATGTTAGGAGGACATTTTAGATCAAAACCGTAACACCGCCCAACTTGCACCTCTGCCTGGCCAACTGCTACAATTTGAATACGGTTTGTTCCTACAAACCTTGGTTAGGAGTTAGGATCTTTAAAAGGAAGGGCCTAGTGGAAGGTGATTAGATCATTGGCAGCGGCACCCTTGAAGGGAAAATGCTATATTCTCTGAGCAAATGAGTGCTCCCTCACGTGAGACTGAACTGGTTACTGAAAAAGCAAGTTACAACAGACAAGAGTTTGGCTTCCTCGGCTTGCTCTCTCGTTTTATCGATTGCCATGTGATCTCTTCTGTGTGCCCTGCTTGCTGCTCTCACACAGGCTCCCACCCTGTGGTTCCATGGCCATACTGTGACACAGCCAGAAGTCCCTTACCAGAAGTCAACTAGATGGGGCTGGCTGATTTGGAATTTCAGCCTCCACAACTGTGAGCTAAGTAAACATCTTTTCTACATAAAGTATCCAGTCCCCAGTATTTTGTTATAGCAACAAAAATGACTAAGACACACCAACTATAAGTTTTGGGGTCCATATGATTATCTGAAAATATGATAATTCAGTAGAAGGACCCCCAGGACTCAGGAAAGTATCATCCCTCAGTGTCTGTGAGGGAAGGGTTCCAAGAGTCAATCACTGATGATATTATTGAACTCAGTGTCCAGGAGGGTGTGGATGGAGGTTGCAATTCTCTAGTCATGTGCTTGGTCATTCTGGCTTGGCCAGTACCTTCCCTGAAACTAGGTTAAGAACGAATCATGAGTCAGGTTATTAGTTACATTCCAGATAATGGAACAGGGTTCATTGTGAATAACAAGACATTTTTATCACTCCAGAAATTCAAAGGGGTTTTAAAGCTGTGTGTCAGGAGACAGTAATAAAGACCAAATACACTTTTTATATTATTACATTCACTTTGTCATGAGGATTCACTGGGGCATTCATTAGTGCACTTTTATAGAGAAGAAAATTGAGGCTTATCGAGCCACTGAAAATACGTTGCCTTTCCAGCTGTTTTCAGTTAATTGTGTTTCCAAATGAATCTGCTAAATTCTGCCCCTTGAGGTTCTTTAGAGCAGTGACAGCAAACCTTTCAGAGACCGAGTGCCCAGACTACAACTCAAAACCCACTTATTTATTGCAAAGTGCCAACACCGCAGTTAACCTTGAATTCTGAGATTTTAGTTTAGAAAAAACAATCGCACATTAACATCTTTTTTCTTAAAAAAAACAAAAACAAAAACAAAAAACCACAGTAGCAGGTTGCCATAGGTTTGCCACCCCGTGCTTTAGAGTTTATTTCACAGTGGTTGTGCTCATTCCCACCTCTGGCCATTTCCATTTCCTTTTCCTTCCTCTTTCTGTACCAACCCTCAAAAGCTATCCAATTCTACCTAGCCTCTAATGCTCGGCAAAGGGGAAAGCGAACTTTATAGAACAGGTACTATCACAGAGATAAGTGCTTTCTATGGTGTCTCATTTGATATGTCAAACCCCACAGTCTGATTATTCTCATTTTTATTTTATTTTTACTCTAGTTTAGGTGCTTGAAAATATGTGAGCTAACATTTCAGATTCAAATGTATTTGGCTGTAAAATCACACGCTTTTTTAGTAATCCATGAGATTTACAAAATTCCAGTACTCTGGCCCCTAAAGTTGAATTGTAGATAAAACTTTAAATCTTTAAGAAATTGTAAGGCAGTTGCATCTTAAATTTGTACTGCCTTTAGTATTGAATACAGATTATTATCCAAAAGCCAAAATAATTATGTATTTTGTAGTCAATCCAGGAATAAGAACAGAATTATAAGGCCAAGACTAGGGGTCTATAATAACTAGGAATTTGTAAAAGAAACATTAGATGAAAAGCGAGAAAAATGAACACAGGGACAAGGAAGAGGAAACATGCATATAGGTCTTTAAAATCACTAAAATTTATTTTAGATTAGTGATTTAATTTGTAAAACACTTTCCTTGAGATTGCAACTCAAAAGGAACAGAAGCTGGGCATGGTAGTGCATGCCTGTAATCCTTCAGTTTAGAAGGGTGATTTAGGAAGATCCAGAGTTCAAGGTCAGCCTAGGCTGCATAATAAGTAGCTCCAGTCTAAGCTACATAGAGAAACCCTATCTAAAAAAATCAGAGAAACAATAGTACACTGTTATTGGATTCCAAGTCAATAAGTAAACACTCTATGTGTCACAAGATACCTTTTTTACCAGACTGAAAGGGAGCAAATAATGATTTTCAATTTTTGAAAGCAATTTTTAAATTTCCGTTTAATATACAAAATAGCAATAAATCTTTAGCAAAACAGTTTGTTACATCAGCACACAATGACCATATGTGATCAGCCAGGAAACGAAAAAGTACTTGAACCCCAGTCCTTCTCTGTGTCTCCTCTCAATTATCTTCCCTTTCCTGCCACAGATAATTTCCTGATGTCTAAAACCATAGATTAATTTTGCTCATCAACCTTTCATGTTATCACAAGGTACACATTTTTGTATCTAGTTTCTTTTGTTCAGCGTTATGTTTCCGAAGTTTTCCATGCTATATATAATAGTACTTTGTTCATTTTCACTATATACGGTATAAAATTATATGAATATATCACAGCCACTTTATTTTTCTGATACACATTTCAGTTGTTTCTAGTTTTGAGCTATTATACATTATGCTACTATATTCTTGGATGTGTCTTCTGTAAACACACACATACATTTTTGTCGTGTATCTATTCTACCTAGAAAACCAGCTGCTGAGTTCTAGAACTTACAGTGTCTGTTCAATTTTGGCAAATACTGTTAAACAACTTTCCAAAGGGATTGCTCCATTTTACACTTGCACTATCAGGTCCAGTCACACAATTTATGAGGAACAGTACAAAATAAAAATATGGAAATTGTGGTTCAAAACCAGGAAAAACTCCATTAAAAATACTCAATTATAAAGCCTTTCCTTTTGCAATACTTGGATTACTATGTTTTTTTACTTGCAATTTAAAATTATAAATTAAGTAAAAAATTTAAAACTATAGGTACCAATTTTACCATTGATCATTATATTTTGCAGTGCCAATTTTAAACACAAATATAAAGGAGTTTTGATTCAAATGTAATCACCAAAATTACTCTATTTTTATCTCATTGTTTGCCCATGTATGTGTTTCATTCTTACAAGAACTATGGAAAAGCTTTATGAAACTAGCACAACTATTTTTATTTCATTTCTTGATATGTAAACCTCGTAATATCTCTACCTTCAGCTTATTATTAGGACAATCTGAAAAGAAAAGAAACTACTTTTCCTTTCTACCTTGTCATTTTTTAATGTAAGTGCTTCGCTAGTACAGGAAAGTAACACAAGTGAAAACGATGTGATAATTTTTTTTTTTCCTCCCCCGCTATCGGAAATCGAACTCACGACCTTGCGCTTGCCAGGCAGGCGCTGCGCCACTGAGCTAAATCCCCAGCCCGTGATAAAATTTCTTGCTCTCATGTTTCTTAAAATATCATTGCTTTTTTTCTGCATTCTAAACAAGATCTGGATTGGTAAGGTGAGCGGGGCTTCTTGAGGCTGTCAGCACCTTGCTAACTCTTTTCGATTGAGTCACCCATATGACATGCTCTGATTCCAGTTTAACTCCCTTGAGTTGCAGATCACTCAGAATTCTGTGTTCACAGGGCATCCTGAATGCCAAAACACAAATGCTTGGCTGGAAATAGTGGACATCCATAAAATGCCGACCTTTTCTACTCATGTCCATTCTATCAGTGTCCCTTCAGACTTCACTTATAAAATACATGTTCAAAGGCAAACTTATTAAGAATTTCAAAACAGCAACAGCTGAACATTAAGTACAAGGTCTTTCGTGCAGTCACTTGCCTGTGAAGCACTGCTGGTTAGAGTTCCAATTAATCCCCAGTCTTGCAAACACTTGACATTGTCAATCTCTTCATTTTAATAATTTGGTATTTTAGAAATATTTCATTTTGGCATTTATCCGCATTTCTTTGCTCACCAATGAAAATATGCACCTTTTCATACATTTATTACTATTTGGCTGCATGTGCGTGTGGTAATTACTCCAGTTTTTTTGTCCATTTTTCTACTGGCTTCTTGTGAGTTGTTTGGGGGTTTTATTTCCTTTTTTTTTTAAGCCTGAATTTGTAACAGTTTTTATATTCTGGACAGGAGGATTATGTAGATGGAAATGTCTTTCTTTACTCTTTCGATTACTTCTTACTCTTTTACAATGTATTTCCATTACTACAAATTCTCGACTTCAACATCACTTAGTTTGTCAATTTTTTCCTTTCAGGTTAAATATTTTGAATCTAATGTTAGGTTAAGTATTTTGAATCTAATTAAATTTTTGGGGGGCTTTTCCTAATTATATTCATTTTTTTTTCCTCCGGTACCGGGAACCGAACTCACGACCTTGCGCTTGCCAGGCAGGCGCTTTTGCCGCTGAGCTAAATCCCCAGCCCTATATTCACTCTTTTACATTAGTTTCTTTAAATTTATTGTTTTGCTTTTTACACTTGGATGCACTATCCATCTGTAATTTCAGAAATATTAACTCTGACCTATGGTGTTTGCCACCACCTTTTTACTTTCACACCTCTCTGTCCCCCTCTCCGTGCCCTTGATCACAGCCGTTTCAAAGCAGTCTACAAGCGGCACGCAGACGTGATCTGGTCCTGATCTTCCAGACTCATCCTTTGCCACCTGTCCTGTTCACCGACTGAGTTTTGCCCTCCCCGTCTTTGCAGAGGTCGTTCCTGAGAATCTACGTGCATCACTCTTTTCTGGTTGTTGAATGAATGGCTAAATTCATCTCTTCTATCACTTCTGCCAATTCTCCAAGGGAGAGAACTTTTAAAACTTCTGGAGGAAAAGCCGAGAAAAGTTTTCCCGTCGTCCCGCGGCGTACTTGAAGCAAGTATAGCCGGACGGCTCGAGGCCGAGTCATCGATCAGCTCGGGGCTCGCCTCCCGGCCGGAGCTCGGCTCGTGCTGTCTGGAGCGCCTCACCCGGAAGCGGAAAGCGGCCCGGAGTCCGTTGCGGCCGGTGCGGTCGGGCAGGCCCGGCCCGGGTCGGTGGGGCTCTGTCGCCGAGATGGCGGATCCTGACCCCCGCTATCCTCGCTCCTCCATCGAGGACGACTTCAACTATGGCAGCTGCGTGGCCTCCGCCAGCCTGCACCTCCGCATGGGTACGCGGGCCGGCCGCTCGGCCGCGGGGACCGGGAGCCCGGCCGGAGCTGCGGGGCGGGGGACG